AATACTTTTTTCATGGAATAGCTCTGCATATCTCACATTGTTCTCTACCTACCTTTGGTACCCACTGACAGAACAGATTTCCAAAGCCCCTTCCAGGTCCTTCTATACACCTCGGTGTTGAGACAGTCCTTGGGAAGAGATGTGCTGAGTGCCTGCAAGACCCCTAGTTCTGTGTGGGTATTCAGGCCCTTACTAATGGCAAGTGTTGGAGAGCAGACATGGTGGGGGTGGGTGCTGAGAGGACAGGCAACCCGAGTGGAGGTGCTTTCCTTGGGGTGCACATGGAATCCAGTCTTCTTATTCCAGGGTGAAGTTCCCTGAGCTCCAAGCTAGAGCATTCATTCAGATAGAATGATAGCCTCACACATTCCAACGTCCCCAACATAGGAATCCTTTGTGCGTTCCTTCAGAGGGCCTGCATGCTCTTCTCTTCCATCTCTCCTGATAAAGAACAAGACCAGGACTCATGACCATCACACATTTGTCAAGCACTCAATACCTGAAGAAAGGAGAACACTGGGCCAGGGGGTGCTCTGAGTAACCAAAGCTAATGTTCAGGTGGCTGTGGCAGTTTTTTTCTGTTTGATATAAGTGGACCCTTGAAAAACATGGGTTTGAACTGCAAGGCTCCACTTACATGTGGACTTTTTTCAATAAATAGGTACTGCAGCACATGATCCATGGTTGGTTGAAGCTGCAGATGCAGAACCACAGATGCAGAGGGCCAACTGTAAAGTTACACATGGATTTTCAACTGTGTAGTTGGCGCAACTAACCTACCCTGCGCGTTGTTGAAGAATCAACTGTATTTTCATCCTTGTATTTATGTCAGTTTTGTGCCCAACACTGAAGTCTACACAAGACAGACAAAACCCCTGCCCTCCTGATGCTTATATTCTAATGGGTTAAGACAGACAAAAGCAACCAAACCAAGTAACTCTGCCTTGTGATACTTCCTATGAAGGGAATAAACACAATACTCAGAATGGTTAAGTGCAGACATGACTGACTGGTATAAGAGTGAAGGTCAAGGGAAGACAGAGCCCTTGTGCAAGCTTGGATTTCAAACTGTGGGAGCTGTGGAGAGATCCAAGAGGAGAATACTGTAGAAGCACCTCTTAAAGAAGAGTAAGACTGGAAATATGAGCTCCTCCTTTAAGCATGATGAATAGTTTTGATGCTGGGTAATGCTTACTCAACAGGAAGTTACAGGAAGAAGGAAACATTAAAACACATTTCCATAACTCCTCTGTGTGAGAAACTATTGTTCCTTAAGCTACTAACATTTTAAAAAAGATTGTTCTGAAGCTTAAAATATCTCTTCTCTTTGTGAACATTAAAGATCCTCCACTTTTTCATTTTTTCACATGCTTTTAAACTGTTCTGTTTGTACAAGTCATGGACAAATGCTTAGTGTGAAAATCATAATGCTGGAAATATTATATTCATTGGTTAAAAACATTCAACAGAAAGATTTCTTACCAAGTTTTTCCTTGAAGGTTCAGGGTAGTCAAATACTATAAACCTTATTTTTGTATTAGTGCTTAGCTCTGTGCAATTCAAGATTCATAATCCTACTGTGATGGAAATGAAAAGCGATTCTGATAGTTTTCCTAAATCTGAAACTGAGTGAAAGACAAGAGCTTGCTTGCATAATTCCGCTCACAAGAGCCAGATGGGAGAACTGCTTTGAGTGAAGTGCAGGCATTATCAGATATGGATGATTTATACAGAAGGAAAGCCTTATAGACTCTTGACTGCGGAAAGAACTTCAGTACAGCCCAGTACCCTTGTCCACTGGAGAATTCATACACAAAGAAACCCTACACATATATTGGGTTCGGTAGATGCTTTAAACAGTGCTCCAGCCTTGCTCTCCATTGAACCCACACAAGGAAGAAACTATAAAAGTGACAAGTGTGGAATAGATTCAGCAACAAATTGCTTCTGTACTTGTTTGAAAAGAACCCTAGAAACAGAATGTGGGTAAAGCTTCAGCACTTCCTACTCAGGGCACTTCAGAGACTGTACAGGAGATAACCCACAGAAAGAACATGAGGAGGCCTTCAGCAAATAATCCACTGTAAGCACTAGAGGGAAAGCTCCTGAGAGAAAAGTAATGGGCAGCCTTGATCCATTACACATGAGTGGGAACGAGCCAGGAAATGCACAAGATGCTCGATAAACACTTGTCTGTGGAGTGGTTCAACGAATGTCTGGAAAATCCTTTATGGTGTTCAAAGCTTTTTATTATCCCAACTGTCCAGCTGGATAGAAAAGGCTGCTTAGCATTCTTCCTCTAAAAATCTCCAGCACAATTAAACAGTTCTGTTTCAAAAGCTGATCGAAACCCTAGCAGTTTGTTTTATCCAAGCTCTCCTCCTGTACTTCCCCTCCAGTTAAAAGATAGTTGAGATTCTCAAGATGAGCTTGAGGTTACAGTCAGCTTAATGGCGAGAACTCTGGGTATACAACGGTCACAGGACCGTGTCCACTGGGACCCATGCAGAGAAGGGGTCGAGGATTTGGGGACGAGGCTAGGTCAGTGATCCAATTCTCAGAACCAACCTTGGAGCCACTATAAGGCTGTTAAATGGACACATAAAAACGAAGCACCTTCTGGTTTGTCCTAGAAATCATCTGATTTTGCAGGTCATATTAGTGAGAACTTTAACACTGTTTGAGGCTGAACCTAGGATTGTGTCTGATTTTTTAAATGAAGCCTCACAGTTTTAGTTTTACCTTGTTGTTTTACTAATCGGCTCTCATCGCTGTGATGAGGTATAGAAATGCCTTCTTCCAACCTGAATACATCCAACCCAAATTCCAAAACATACGCAGTAGTAAAACACTGTGCTGATTAGTGGCTAAGTTAGAACTTCCCCACTGGAAGTTTCTCATTCCCCAGCTGGAGTGCCCTGCTCGTGTTTTCCTGTCCAAGCTTCTTCCCAACTGTTACCTTTCAGTCCAGGAAAAGAAGCCACCTTCCTCTTTACAACAATCTGGGAAAACTTGGTGATCTCCGTCCCATTTTCTAAGGCACAATTCAAAGAAGGTACAACAGAGCTATTTACCAAACCATTCCTTGAAGTCTACTACACTTAGAATGGAAAGAAACCCCTAACCTCTCCCTAGCCCACTGATCAACAGAAGCCCTTCCTGTGCATGTAGGGCTGTGGAGCAGTGGAACAGAGGGCGGACAAAGACAACGAAATGGAATAAGGCCAGAGAGAGGGACAGATGGTTGCCTCATCCACTTCAACAACTGACCTCTACAGGATTTGTCCCTGCTAAGCAAGCAAGCAGTCTGTCTTTCCCATCACCTATAGTCTTATAAGCTCCTAAGTGTTCCCATCAGTGTTACACCAGCTCAGTGGAGCATCTAGAGGAAACTAGATCTCTTCCAAGGACCAAAGACCAGGTGGAATGACAAAGAAGTTTCCTGAGCTCTAGCAGAAGACGGTCTTACTGACAGGCCAGGTTATGCTGCAGAAACACATAGCACCAACATCCCAATGACTTAACAAAAGTTTATTTCTCATTCCTACAGTCCATTATAGGTCTGGGGGACTCTCCAGAACAGATACCCCTCCCCAATGTGGGGGGCTCGGCATTCCAGACTGTTCTGATCTTGTGACTCCTCTCTATGTGCTTATATGACTGAGGCAGGAAAAGACACCACTAGAGAGTCCTGCAGCAACAAACAAATGCTACAGCCGAGAAGGGAAACTTTTGCTCACACCCATTGCTCAAAACTATCTCAGGATACTAACTGCAAGGAGAAAAAAGTCTAACCACTCCCTTCTTACTGTTCACTAGGATACAAGCTCCATGAGGATATGCATTTTGTCTCCTTGTCCACTACTATATTCTTAGTTTAAAAGACTACCTGGGTACATAATAGGCCCTCATCAAATTGAATGAATGAATGCAGTGTCAGCAAGAAATCCACATGTATATCTTGGGAGAAAAAACAAGAGTCCCAGGGGTGTAAGGCTGAGACTGTTGGGTAAGATCTATGCAGACCAGAGCTGCAGAGCTGGCCAAGCTTAAGAAATAAGCACACTGGTATACTGGTACAGTTATCTTAAGAGAAGAAAATGAAATCCTGTTGACAGCGGCAGAAAAACCTCAGGTGACTTACACCATAGAGCACTGAAGCCAAGGACCAAATCAACCGAGCAAACCACCACCACGAGTGCTCAGCTCCTGGAATGAGCTGCAACAGCCACAAATGCATCTGCTCCTTTAATGTAGTCAGTCCACCCAACATACCACTGGGGACCAGGGGAAAGGGAAGGACACGCACACTGACTGAGACCCTGCTATTTCCCAGGCCGATAGGTGCTTTTCCTTCATCAACCCCTCTAATCCCCAGAAAAACCCTGAGTTGAGTGTTATCTCTATTTCATATGGAAACTGGAGATTTAAGAGTGTTTCAGTAACCAATCAAGAAACAGGAATGTTTTACAAGCTAGAAATAGAAATAGATACAATACAATGTCATCCAGGCTGGCTGGGCAGGGACAACATACAGATCAGTCCTGCTAATCCTGCCCTCAGGCCTGACTGATGCAGCTAAGTGACAGCCAACAGACCCACTAGCTATGGGGTCTTAACAAGCCTCTGGATCTCTTTGAACCTCTGGATCTCTTTGAACCTAACTTCCCTTTTTATAAGAGATTTGTAAGAGATCATTTAACCTCTTTCCTAATACTACCTGAAAGCTCTAACAGGAACACATCTGAATCACTGCTGTAGGTGATGGAGATTTTTGGCATTCTATGCTATGCTGGAGAAAACAGAAACTGGAAGACCCTGCCTGTTTAACAGTTTACAGTGTAAGTCAACCAAGGCAGATGCAGGTTCACCTAGCCTTGCCTGCCACTCAACATCAGTTCCCAAACCTTTCCTTTTGGGAACTTGGTCTCCTGCTCAGTGAATTCCCAGAGCACCATTCCCAGTGACCCACAGGATCCTCCCTACTGCATACACTCCAGTTCCCAGACAAACATAACTTTCTTGTTGTTCTTAGTAACAAACAAAAGCCAAGTTAAAATACAAACAGACAAAAACCTAAGAAGTTGATCCTGAATTCCCATTAATTTCCATGAGCTTCAGAAAAGTGCTCATGTTTATGGCTGTTTTATCCTATCGGCATTGTGAGGTAAGGAGTCCAGTTAATTGCAGAAAATTCTTCTTTTCATCTAAAACATACCAAATGGCTAAAAATTCCAACCCATGTCCACATGATCTCATTAGATATTCTTTTTTCCAACACCACAAATGAGAGGCAATGATAGTGCATTATTAGTTCACCTGGCAGATTCTCTAACAGTGAAGTAAATGATTTCATCACAGTAAAAACTGTGCTAACAGGACTAAAGAGATATAGTTGCTAAAATGTTCAAGAAGAAACTCAGAACCAGGTCAACTTTGTGAACACTGTCCAATGACAAAACAGAGTAAGAAAATCCAATTTGGTTCTTGGAAAACTTTATATTAGAATTCATTTCTACCTCATGAGACTACTGAAATTCGTAAGTCTGCTAACTGGAAGACAATGGTATGCAATGAAACATGTATATTACTGCTTTCTGTTTTGGAAGACCATGCTACAAATGTTTCTATCATATGTGCTTAAGAGTGGCTGGGGAGGTCATTCTGTGACCACAGAAGACTGATGATTCATGACTGCATCTGCTATTTTGAAGCTGATCTTGCTATTTTGCCAGGTACAATCCCAAAGCAGCTTTTTCCTTTACTCAGAATATTCTTAGAACACTATTTTTGCTAAGGAATTCAGTAAAAGTTCTAAGTAAAAACAGTAAGTAGTACAACGATTAACGTTTCCCCTCCACAGTCAACCCTGATTTCTTTCTGTGAAACGTGGTGTTTACATCTCCAAATTTTCCACTGGTGAAAAATTCTTCATGCTTCTTAATTTTGCATTTTTTCATAAACTTTAGGGTCAAGTGCCGCTTGGTATATGTCTGTAGGCTGAGGACACTGAACAAGCTTTCCTTCACTGGTGTCAAAGTCTTGAGCACTTATTGAAGATTCTCCTGCATGTGCTACAGGTGGGTTCTCCGGTGTTTAATAAGGTGGGAATTTTGACTGAATTTTTTTCCACATTGATGACATGTAAAGGGCTTCTCTCCAGTGTGAGTTCTTTGGTGTGTGTGGAGATGTGAATTTTGACTGAAGCTTTTCCCACACCATGAGCATTTATATGGCTTTACTCCTTGGTGTGTTGTTAAGTGCTTATTGAGATCTGACCTCCATCTAAACCTCTTATCACACTGTTCACATTTATATGGTTTCTCTTCAGTGTGAATTCTTTGGTGCTTAATAAGGTCAGAACTAACTCTGAAGCTTTTCCCACATTCCTGACATTTAAAAGGCTTCTCTCCTGCACGTTCTTTCTCGTGAAGCTCGATAAGTTTCAGCAGCTCTTCTTCCCACCAGTTTGAAAATTTAATTCCTTCCTTCACTGGAAAATCTTGGTGCCATTTCCCCACCCTATGCATATCACCATGATTTTCTTTGCCCATTGTTTTCTGATGAACATTCACACTGGCTTTTTTTGATACTATGTCTCCTGGTGCTTGTATTTCTAAGTCAGAAAAACATATAGGTTGATGATTTTCAGTGTCATTTTTCATCTTTATCTCTGTTGGAATAAACATAAGAATCAGGCAACTGTATGTCAGAGCAAGAAAACCATGGGAATAGAAAAAAACGCAATATTCACTGATTTAAAAAAATAGGGAAGTAGAATCTTAAAATGTTAAGCCCTTGTAAAGGTTCCTACCAAGGCACATTTCTCCTCTTCCCATGGTATATTTACCTGAAAACAGCTCTCCGGGACTGTCTTTGAATATTGGGGATCTTTGAACCCATGGCTCTTCCCCTTGCTCTAAGCAGCAGATCACTTTAGTTTTGGGGAGCACAAATAATGCTGTGAAATAAAAAACTGAAGTCAGTGACTGGAACTAACAATGGTTCACTAATTCCAGACACTTCAGGAAGTGCAAAAGATACTTTAACAGTTTCTTATCCTGAATGGTTAAATGGAGTGTCTCATATCCAATATTAAGTTTACACTATACTGCATTTGTGAGTGGGTATGTAAAGACTGGGAAATAAATCTAAGCTAGATCTATGAAAAGGGTATGCGAATTCATTGCGTGTTCCCCATCTTCTGAAACCAATACTCCATATTCAACTAAGCTGTAACCAAACTCCAGAGGCTACAGGAAATACAGGCTGGTCCTATTACCTCTTTAGGAAGACTCATACTGGATAAGGCCAGGTCTAGGGGAGTCAATGTGAAGGTCAGTGGGCTGGGTATCATAAATACAAGTGATTCCTGTTATATTATAGCAAGTTTCAATTGAGTTCTCAGGTACCAGACACTGGACCAGGAAAGATTTCTACTACTCCTATAGCTCACTGGTTCACATCCAGGTGGAGGAAACAGACCAGAATTACTTAGTGGACTTTCTTTAAATCATATTGCCAAGTATGGAAAGCATTCATCACTCAATCATTCAATACATATGTGCTGAGTGGCTATGGTGCACCAGGCACCCTGTATGTGCTAGGGATACAGTGGTGAATAAGCCAAGCCCCTTGATCTCAGAGAGCTTATCTTCTAGTGCAGAATGAGACAGTCTAACGTCAATAAACATGCAAATAAAATATCAGGAAGTGATAAACGTTTTGAAGAAAACTAAAGCAGGGTGAGAGAACACTTAAGATTCTGCTTCTGTGAAGGTATTTTAAATAAGGCTATGTGAAAAGCCTCTCTTAGTGATATTTGAAGGACTTCCTTGGTGGTCCAGTGGTTAAGACCCATGCTCCCAATGCAGTGGGTCCGGGTTCGATCCGTGGTTGGGGAGCTAAGATGCTGCAACTAAGAGTTCGCATGCTGCAACTAAAAATCCCGCATGCTGCAACTAAAGATCCAGAGTGCCAAAACTAAGACCCTGCACAGCCACATAAATATATATTAAAAAAAAAGGAAAAAAAGTGATATTTTGAGCAGAACCCTAAACTGAGTTTTGTCATATGGCAGAAAAGCGTGCCAGGCACAGGGAAGGAGAAAGAAATGAGCACACCAAGCCCATGAAACAGCAAGATGAGCAGTGTGAATAAAGAGGCCAGAGCAAGGGCACAAGTGGCAGGAGACGACAGCAGGGAGATGAGGAGGGGCCAGATCGTGGAGGAAGCCTTGGTAAGGAATTTGGTTCTTATATTGAATGTGATGAGAAGTTACTGTAAGGTTTTTAAGCAGAAAATGTCATCATCTGATTAGGTTTGGTTTTTTTGGCCACACCCTGCAGCTTCCAGGATCTTACTTCCCCAACCAGGGATTGAACCCACACCCTTCACACTGAAAGTGCAGAGTCCTAACCACTGGACCACCAGGGAATTCCCCGTGATTAGGGGTGTTTTTTTTTTTAAATAACTTTATTTTATTTATTTATTTTTGGCTGTGTTGGGTATTCGTTGCTGTACGCAGGCTTTCTCTAGTTGCGGTGAGCAAGTGGGGGCTACTCTTTGTTGCAGTGTGTGGGCTTCGCATTGTTATGTCTTCCCTTGTTGCAGAGCACAGGCTCTAGACGAGTGTGCTTCAGTAGTTGTGGTACGCAGGCTCAGTAGTTGTGGCGCACGGGCTTAGTTGCTCTGCAGCATGTGGCAACTTCCTGGAGCAGGGCTCAAACTCGTGTCCCCTGCATTGGCAGGTGGATTCTTAACCACTGCGCCACCAGGGAAGCCCCCCATGATTAGGTTTTTAAAAGACTCTAGCTGATGTGTGGAAAACTGATTGTGGGAGGGCAGGAGTGGTGGCAGTTAGAAAGTATTGAGGTGAACCTTGTGGCTGAGATGAGGATGCTAATAGCACAAGAGGCTGAGACATGATCTGATTCAAGCTACACCGTGAGGGTGGAGCCAAGCTGATTAGCGATGACCTAGTAGTGGGGTAGGATGGCAAGATCACAGTAAAGAATGATCCATAGGTTTTCTGGCCTGAAATACTGGGTGAATGGTAGTGTCCTTTAGGGAGACAGGAAAGAGAAGAGCAAAGCAAATTTGGAGGGAAGGGAACAAAAATTCTGGATAAGGAATGAGCATGTGAACTTGGCAAAAGCTCCCAGGTAAACTGGTTACACCGTTTCCCTGCTGAACCACTATCTGAGAATCAAAAAGCAACTGGTAAATATATCTGTGTATATTAAAAAAAAAAAAAAAAAGCAACTGGAAAAGAGACTCTCTCACAGAGAAAGCCAAGAATATGACAGATTACTCAACTCCTATGCAAAGGGAAGGGCAAAGAACTTCCCTGGTGGTTTAGTGGTCAAGAATCCACCTTCCAATGCAGCAGACGGGGGTTCAACCCCTGGTCAGGGAACTAAAATCCCACATGCCGTGGGGCAATGAAGCCCACGCCACAACTACAGAGCCCGCGCACTCTAGAGCCTGTGTGCCACAACTAGAGAGAAGCCCACGTGCCGCAACAAAACATCCTGCATGCCACATCGAAGATCTCGCATGCCACAACTAAGGTCTGACGCAGCCAAATAAATAATTTTTTTTAAAGAAAGATTCAGGACTTCCCTGGTGGCGCAGTGGTTAAGAATCTGCCTGCCAGTGCAGGGGACACAAGTTTGAGCCCTGGTCCGGGAAGATCCCACATGCCGCGGAGCAACTAAGCCCATGTGCCACAACTACTAAGCCTGCACTCTAGAGCCCACAAGCCACAACTGCTGAAGCCCACGCGCCTAGAGCCTGTGCTCTGCAACGAGAAGCCACTGCAATAAGAAGCCCATGCACCACAACAAAGAGTAGTCCCTGCTCGCTGCAACTAGAGAAAGCCCGCGTGCAGCAATGAAGACCCAACACAGCCAAAAAGATAAATTTAAAAAATTAAAAAAAAAAAAGATTCAATGAAGGGAAGGGGAGAATCTTTACCTAGAGAGATGACAGTCTCATAGTTTTCTTGCATTACATCATTGTAGAGGGCCTTCTGAGTAGGATCCAGTAACTCCCATTCTTCCTGGGAAAAATATATGGCCACTTCTTCAAATGTCAACAAGCTCTGAAAAGAGAATACGCTTTAGCTAAGTATTTGCCACTTCAAAAGCAGCCCAACCATCTGACCCATAATTTGTATGTTAGGCCAGGAACTAAAGGAACAGCACATGATACTTTTTAAAGTGAGGAGGCAGAAATGGAAGAGGCAAGGGATCAGCAAACAGTCTGGGAGGTGTCCAGTTCCCCAGCAGGATCATCTGGGTTAACACGCCTCTAAGCACGTGCTGGGCAGTGTAGGTCAAGGGCAGCAGGGAGAGGCAGCCCTAAGAAGCTGGAAAGCATAGCTCACCTGGGACTCAGGCAAGATGAGCTCAGGTGCCACTGGCCAGTCTTTGGTGTTTGTCTGTTCAGGAAAGGCTAGGATCCGGTGAGCAGGCACCGCTGTGGGTGAAAGAGAGCAGAGGTAATTTCTCTCGCTTCTGTTTCTGAACGTGGTAGGCTCTTTTCTAAAATACAGAAGACCCCGATTTTTTTAGTATTGATGAGATACCTTTACAAGTACGTGTGCTGGACTTCCCTGGTGGCGCAGTGGTTAAGAATCCTCCTGCCAATGCAGGGGACATGGGTTCGAGCCCTGGTCCAGGAAGATCCTACATGCCATGGAGCAACTAAGCCCGTGCACCCCAGATACTGAGCCTGTGCCCTAGAGCCCAAGAACCACAACTACTGAAGCCCGCGCACCTAGAGCCCATGCTCTGCAACAAGAAAAGCCACCACAGTGAGAAGCCCGCGCACCACAAGGAAGCCACCACAATGAGAAGCCACCTCAATGAGAAGCCCATGCACCACCTCGCTCACCGCACTAGAGAAAGCCCACGTGCAGCAACGAAGACCCAACACAGCCAAAAATAAATAAACACATAAGTTTATTTATTAAAAAAAAAAGTGTGTGTGCTGTTCAGAAATGCCTCTCTCATTATAAATGAAAACCATGGAACTACCAGCCTCTAAAACAGGTTCCCTAGTTTTCATGAGCAAATTAATGAAACGAAAAAAATTTTTATTACCCTCTCGTGACATAAATTGAAAACAAAATACTCAGGGAATCCAGTGTACAGTAAGAGATGTAGTTTTTTTCTTTTTTTTTTTTATCATTTATTACTTTTTTTCTGGTACAAATAGTGTTCACATTCTGCCACTAACCATCCATTCTGATCCCAATTCCTTCCATATTTTCAGCATGAGGTGAGACTGACCCTCTCTGCTTTTCTAAAAACAGAATTCCTGATGTTATTACCAGGGTTCTGTGGTTTGGAGATTTCTGAATCTTAGGCCAACCCCAACCTTCAACCACACCTGGTCTGCTCTACCATAATCTGGGGGGCATCCTAATTGCTAACGTGGCTACATTAGAAGATCCACACGGCAAGCAAGAAAATAGTAACAACATTCTGGCTTAACAAATTACTATCCCAGCTCCCAGGAGAAGGCAAGTAACGTGAAGCTCCTTACCCCTCTCACATACAGGCTCAGTTTCTTTGTGGGTATTCCTGATCAGCAGCTCTTGTAGACTCTGGTGTGTATTCCAAAATTCTTCATCCTGGGACATGCCCACTTGCTGGGCCTCTGCTGGCTTCAGCTTGAAGCCTCGGGCCTCTGCTGTCTCTCCCAAGGGCACTGCCTCCTTTCCCAGCTCATGGTCTGCAACCTAGAAATAATGCCCATCCTTGTTACCATGGAACTTACTTTTCGTTTGGGAGTTGGTGGGAGAGGGAGGAAAAAGCAGAGTGCAAACTGTGGGAAGAAGGAGACACTAAAGGAAATGTCACAAAGACTTAAGAGAGATACGGGACCACCAATTTTCCACAAGAACTAAACACAAAATATAGGAAAATTGGCAGAAGAGGAAAAAAGGTGTGGTTACTGTCAGCCCTCCAAGACAGCAGCCCCCACCCTCTGCATCCAGCCCAGCTCAGACCACTAACAGGGCTACACAGGCCACCTGTTCTCATGCTGCCTTGACAGACTTTCTCTCCCAACTTAGATTCTTGCCTTAGTGGCTTCCTGTCCTCTAACTCTCTCAAAAGATTAAGGAATTGAATTTAAAAGTTGTCCTGTCAACCAGATTTTCCACATGGCCAGGGAAGAGTCTCACAGAGGATTGGGATGAAATGGACAAAAAAGTGGGAGGAAAGAGTCAAGGCTCCAACCTATCCCCAAATGATTTTGACAGAAAACGTGTGCCCTCCCGGTATTCTCAGTAGGCCTTTGAAGCTAGCTGGTATGCTGCCACCTGCCCAAGGGCATGCCCTAGATCCCCGCTCACAGCACAGCCAAGGAACAACCACTGAGGGAAGGCAGTGGAGGCCCTTGTCTACGGTACAGAGGACACTATCCCTCATGCTCTTTCTTCTCTCAGCTACTCTGTTGGGATTTCCAAATCTTTCTTTCCCTGTTTTCTTTCTACTTTTTCTCTTCCTGGGCAGTCTTCCTCTAGTTGTTTGGTTTCTCCTTCTCCTTCCTATCTTCACTCTCCTTTGGTCTCTGAGAATTACTGCTTTTTGGGATCTGTCCCTTCCTCTCCAACTCCTTATTGCCTTTTGTTTGTTTCTAAGAACTTGAGGCTCATCTCCTTCTCCAAGCCAGACTAGGCTCATTACCCTCAACACACCCTGGCTCCAAAGAGGGCAAAAAGCAACTCTCCCTAAGGCCAGGGAAGTCTGCCAGGATCTCTGAAACCTGTGGACTGACTATGGCTATGGGTCTGTGCTTTCACGTCCTGCTTTACATGTTCTAAAGGAACAACAGAACTGAGACTTAATTCATCTTATTTCCCAATTAACTGCCCCCAATACATCCACCTTCACCCTGTTTTACTGCACACATGAAGAATCTTTCCTCTCACCCCATTCCTCATTTGACCAGATTCACTCTGCAAGTGTTCTACCAGGACCACAGCCTCCTCAATGCTCTGTAGATGGTGCTTCTTTACGCAAGTCTGGGTGTCCCTGGGCAGAATGGTCAGGAACTACTCTAGGACCACAAGTTCCAAGATCTGCACTTCTGACTGAATCTCTGGCCTCAGCCACATGGGCTTAATTTCTGAAGCTGGTCAACAGCCTCCCTGGGTCCAGCTGCATCATAACAGAGGAAGCTCTAGAAGTGCTGGTGAGGCCTCTTGGGACTGAGACTGTCCGTTTGGGGGGCATATTTCTTATGCTGACTGGAGCTCTCTGTCACAGGTCCCTTGGTCTCCCACAGAGTCCTGATCTGAGGGTTCAAGTACTTACCCACCTTCAGATCTACTGTCATCATTCTGATCTAGGAACAATTTGGCTCCTGTGTTGGACACACCACCAGCACCATCTTTGACAACTGAGGCCCAGTCTGATCTGGAACAAAACCAATAGAAGGTTCTTCTTTCTAAGGCATTAAAGTGAGAAAAAAAAGAGTGCATGTCAATAAAAAAGTCACAAGAACTTTACTACTTGTTACGTATTATAAGAGAAAAATGAACTTTAAAAATCAACTGCCAAGCCCTTGTTTCTCTCCTTTTCTTTCTATTATTCAACGGAATACAGCACGACTTATTGAAGACAAATGTAAATAAATTACTTTGCCTTAAAAAAAAAAATAGGGCTTCCCTGGTGGCGCAGTGGTTGAGAATCTGCCTGCCAATGCAGGGGACACGGGTTCGAGCCCTGGTCTGGGAAGATCCCACATGCCGCAGAGCAATTTGGCCTGTGAGCCACAATTACTGAGCCTGCGTGTCTGGAGCCTGTGCTCCGCAACAAGAGAGGCCACGGCAGGACTTCCCTGGTGGTACAGTGGTTGAGAGTCCGCCTGCCGATGCAGGGGACACGGGTTCGTGTCCCAGTCCGGGAAGATCCCACATGCCGCGGAGCAGCTGGGCCCATGAGCCATGGCCGCTGAGCCTGTGCGTCCGGAGCCTGTGCTCCGCAACGGGAGAGGCCACCACAGTGAGAGGCCCGCATACCGCAAAAAAAAAATCAAAGAGAGGCCACGACAGTGAGGGGCCCGCACACCACGATGAAGAATGGCCCCCGCTCACCCCAACTAGAGAAAGCCCTCGCACAGAAACGAAGACCCAACACAGCCAATAAATAAATAAATAATTTTAAAAAATAAATCAATTAATTAAATCAGGAGAGGTTGGTGGGTGAAAAAACTAGTACCCACTGGCTCCAAGGAGTTTGGGGATTATCCAAAGATTTAATTGACGCACTTCCTATGCCATCCTCTCCGTGTAAAGGAAAGATCAGGAGAATATTCTGAGTTTCTCTTAAATTTCAACATAGCGTCCTAGTCTGTCTTCAGTAAGAGGATACAACTTCTATGACCTTTGCTCTTTTGGGAAGATGAAAGACTTCACTTCCTGGACCATTTGAGGTGCTCCTTTGCATTGTAAGAAAACTGGCAGAAGAGCTGGAACAATGAGACCAGAGTGGAAGAACAGTAATTCAGAAAAATGGAGCCTTATTCTTCTCAAAAGCATCCCCCAATTAAGTAACTAGTTGCTCTACATTCATCTTGGCATTTCTTTGTAAGATATATAAAGAGCACCATGCAGAAGATTTATGCCTGAATTTTTAATTTTTATTACTTGACTTAGGAAAAATTACAGCTGATCCTTGTTCACAAAATGTGTATCCAAATGTCAGTTGGGAAAAAGGACAGCATGTTAGTTGGTGATGATTACATTCAGCTGCTACATTTCTCCAGGGCTCATTTACACCTCTAAGCGAGGCTGAGGAGGAGTGCCTCGTGAGCCTCACTTTCCCTGAGGTGATCCAGCAGAAAGGGCACCGAAATTCTGCCCAGGAAGCCACGGTGTTCACAAACGGCCGGCTCCCGATGCCCACCTGGCTCTGAGGAGCAGGGACACTTCCCAGGCTTTCACATCAGAGGAAGCTGATCTCTCTGAGGCTGGACCACCCGTTTCTCCCGCAGTAACATCAACCGGTAAAGGAAACGCCGGCGGAGGCGGGAAAGTGGACACTACCGCCCGGGCGAGCCCGCGAGCACTGTGCCTGCGGGCAGTGTCCGAATGGGCTCCCGCAGCGCGGCCCCGGGCGCCACCCGCACAAACGTTGGAGAGAGCGGCCTCACGAGCCTGACGGCGGGCCTCGCCCCAGACAGTCCAGCCGCCCGGCTCGGAAATACCCTCGGCCGCCTTGCAGCGGCCGGCGTCTCTCGGGGACTCCGGAGCCTGCGCCGAAGCGGAAGCCGCTTCTAGGTTACCTCGGATGGCTTGGCTTCGTGGAGGCCGCTCCCTCCTCCCGGGGCTCTATCGCAAGTCGCCGCCGGTCCGGCTACCGCTCTAAGGAGGACAGCTCCCCGCCCCGCGCCACTCAGAGGTGGGTTCCGAGGCTCAGGCCCGGAACCACTTAGGTTCGCCTGGCCCGGACGGCCCGCCCGGAGCAGTTCCTGCGCCGCGGACTAACCCACCCCCACCCCTCACTCTCTCCAACCGGAAGGGGAAGTGACGTACTTCCGGGGAGAGGCTCCTCGCAGGTCAATGTGTTCTCACCGCCACGAACTGGCGTTTACCAGGCGGGCAGAATTGATGTCACGGAGTCTGAGGCCCGCGGAGCCTGAGGACCCTGCACGGTGGCTGTCCTCTCGCGGCCATTACTTCCTTCGTCGTTGTGGGTGGGTGGCGACCGGTAACCCGGAGTCCCACCGCGTGACGTCCCCGCCCCTGCCAGTGCCCGAGCTGTCCTCCCGCCGCTTCACACAGCCTCCTCCGGTACCTGGTGTTGACTTAAAACAATAAAATAGCCAGTTATTTTATCAGCAAAATGAGTTAATTTGGGGACAATAAAGAGTTGCTATTTGGAATATGCAAACCCTGGCAACCATAAGCAAGTCTGGAGAACATGGTTCTTCTACACAGGAGACCTGAGGAGTTCGGAGCGACTGTTGTAACCCAAGAATCCACTGGAGGAAAATGGGAGTGTAGTGGCTTGTCACTGGCTGAATTTTGACAGTCTCTCATTGGCTCACCTGTTGCTAGGTCAGGAGAAAATCTTCCTCCTGGTGGGTAGTAAAGTTGTAACCTGTTGCTAATGCAATTGATGTCTAGTGGTTGGGCGTGAGATCAACCCCTTTGAGCTCTGATTCCATTTTAAATGAGGTACCGTTTATAATTTTCACAAAGGCAGTTTCGTCTAACTAATCTGGCTTGTGATAGGTGTGACCCAGACACTCACATGCAACCAAAGTTCCTACAGCTGGCTGAGCACGGCAATCCCTCTGTCTTACAACAGGCGTGTCAACAACCAAAAGATTCTCACTAATTAGAGAAATTAGAGAAATGCAAATCAAAACTACCTCACACCGTCAGAATGGGCATCATTAAAAAGTCTACAAATAACAAATACTGGAGAGGGTGTGGAGAAAAAAGAACCCTCCTACACTGTTGGTGGGAATGTAAGTTGGTGCGGCCACTATGGAAAACAGTGTGGAGGTTCCTCAGAAAACTAAAAATAGAATTACTATATGGTCCAGCAATCCCACTCCTGCACATATACCTGGACAAAACTATAATTCAAAAAGATACATGCACTCCTCTGTTCATAGCAGCACTATTCACAATAGCCAACACATGTAAACAACCTAAATGTCCATCAACAGATGAATGGATAAAGATGTGCTATATATATACAATGGAATACTACTCAACCATAAAAAAGAATGAAATAACATGGATACAACCAGACATTATCATACTAAGTGAAGTCAAACAAAGATAAATACCATATAATATCACTTATATGTAGAATCTAAAATATGGCATAAATTAACTTATCTACAAAACAGAAACAGACTCACAGACATAGAGTACAGGCTTGTGGGTGCCAAGGGGAAGCAGGGTGGGGGAGGGAAGGACTGGGAGTTTGGAATTAGCAGATATAAACTATTATATATAACATGAATAAGTAACAAGGTCCTACTGTATAGCACAGGGAACTATATTCAATATCCTATGATAAACCATAATGGAAAAGAATATTTAAAAAAAAGAATGTATATATGTGTATAACTGAGTCACTTTGCTGTGCAGCACAGATGGGCACAACATTGTAAATCAACTTCAATTAAAAAAACAGAAAATTCTTGTTTACAGAACTGGCTCAGGTACTTACAACATGCAGAGGAGAAATCTTGTGTTCTACAGGGAAAAATACCTCCCTTCCTTTATTCTTGGCAGACAAGACCTACTGAAAACTCTCTACCCACCCTCCTTCCTTCAGTGGGGAAAGAAAATGTTTTCTTAAAAGTTGCCATGGACACCAATGAGAAAAACAAACATGTACTTAAGAAGCAGTAATTAAATCAAGTTTCTCCACCTTGTTTCAACTGCCTGTCCCCTTACCCAGGCCCTCTCCAATCTGATTTCCATTCTCTTTCCATACTCCCCTTCCCATCATTGCCTTCGTCTCCTGGGTTCTCACTCTAAATGCTGCACCAAGGTCACTGCCTTCTCAATGTTTCCTGGATGATGCGCCCTCACCCAGGCTTGGATCTCCCTGTGCAGAATGATCAGGAATTGCTTCAGCTCCAGGATCCTATACTTGAATGCAGCTTGGGCTGCAATGATCATGAGCAGAGCTCCCAGAGCTGGCTGAAAGCTTGTGAGTGAGGCTCAGCAGTTGCTGATAATGGGAGAGTCTGAAGAGCTGGTGGGAGATCTCCAAGTTGCCAGCCTCTCTGAGAGGTCAGAATCTGCTATCAGCCACCTGAGAGAATGTGAGCAATAAAGGGGAATTCAAATCGAACTGAGGCTGATCTTTGGCCCAAAATTCAATCCCTACAATGTGGGGATAATCAACCTGGTATATGAGACAGGAAATGGAAGTTGTTACCTGTTACCTAATGGAAATTGCACAGACTTCGACCATCAGGTGGATCCAGTTTCCAGTCCCAGCTGAACTCCACACTAACTGATGTGAGGCAAAATATTCAACCTCTCTTAGCCTCTTTTTCTCATCTGAGCATAACAATACCTACCATGCAGCAAAGAGAAAAAGATTAGAAATGCTATTTGTATAGCATCTGGCCCAGTGCTTCCCACTTAGAAGGTGCAGAGTAAATGGTCTGGGGTGGTGTAAGAGAAGCTCCATCTTACAGGAATTTCAAGCATATCTCACTACTTAACATATATTAATTTGTTTAATGTCTGTCATCCCCACAAAAATGTAAGGTTCTTGGAGAGCAGGTAATTTGTTTTATTGTTGAAACACAGCTCCTTGAGAAGTGTCTGGTCCTAAAGTAAATATTTGGCAAATGAATGGGTGAAAAAAGACAAGGAAGACTGGGGTCTTCAGACCTCATTAATTGCCTGGGTGTCCAGTACTTAAGCATTATAAACAGTATGAAAGGAGACGAAGACTGGTCTCTAGCTTAGATGTCTCTGAGATCTGTCTCCCCTTCGTTTCCACTCCTGTAGTTCTAGAGTGGGATTTCTGAACTTCAGAACTATTGACATTTGGGGCCGGACAGGTCTTTGTTGTCTGTGTGCATGGGTGGGTATCCTATACACTGTAGGATGTTTAGCTGTACCCCTGGCCTCCACCCACTAGATGTCAGGAGCACCCACCAGTCCCGACAAGACTGACTCCAGACTTTGTCAAATGTATTTGGGCGGCAATCGGCCCCGATTGAGAACACCTGGTCTAGGCACATATCATTAGGCCAGACTGGTAGATGAGTCTCCCATCTGTTCACCTGGTCTTTGTACAGAGCAGATCTGGACTTCTTGACTTTCTAATAATCTAATTGCTCAAAAGCCTTTAAGACTTCCTAATGCCACTGAAATAAGCCAAGATCTCCTAACTCGCAAGGCTCTCCCTAGCATTCAAGGCCCAACCTACCCCTCCAGCCTCGTTGCACACTCTCCTATACACAGTCTACAAACCAGCACAGGTGAACTGGTCCCACATACTGGAACAGAATCTGTACCTTCCAGCCTTAGTGCCTTTTCCCAAGGCCTGATTCATCCTTTCCATAGAAACTGAACACTAGCGGTACCAGTTTGCACTCCTTCCAATCAAGGGAGAAAGGGCAACTTTGTTTAGAAATTAGACATGCGGAAATAAGGAAAAAATTTCAAGGAGTGCACCGTCAGAGAAGGCAAGAAACCCAGAGAATGAGGACTGGTAACACCACCACTATCACCTTCTTGGAAGCTCCTAACACTTTGAAGTCCTCAGTCCTGTCTTTAACTCTCTCTCAGAGTGCCTTCTCTTACTGAAAATGAGTCCCCCTAAAACTGAGTTTCCCTATTGAGTTTATGATTAATCACTCTACCCAAAATTTTTATTACCTTTCTTGTACCCTCTGACCTCAGTTTGTAATAGGGGTGGGGCGGGGCGGGAGCACAGCCATTAGTGCAAGGCTGTTAGTGGCCTTGCTATACTAATGGTCAGCATCATGGTAGTCCCAGTGGTGGCACTCTCCCTGGGTTGCAGTCCACAGGACCTGACCCCTCTTTGCAGGGCCTGAGGAGCCTGAGGGCCAGCTAGGTCCTGGGTGCCTTGCTCCCTCAGTGATGATGGCTGGGTAGGGTCTGGGGACCTGGCCTGGAGGGCGCCACCAGCTGAGATCTGCCTCTTCAGCTGGGCCTGGGCATTGGCGGGAGGACACAGGCTGGGTGCTGGATGAATGCTCCCCAGCAGGGTAACTGGCCCGCACAGGGACCCTCTCCTCTTAGCCAGGGCCTAGACTTAAGAGAGCAAAAGTTGATCCTTGGGACCTTGAACAAGTAAAATGAGGGGTAATGATTTAGCTTTGCTTATGGGATTTGTTAAGTGTTAGTGAGGCCAAACAATTCAAAAATGTCGGAGTTTGGAGCAAAGGAAGGTTTACTGCAGGGTCATGCAAGGAGACGGGTGATTCATGCCTTGAGAAACCTCCAACTCCTCAAAGGCTTTCAGCAGAGCCCTTTAACAAGAAAGGTGAGGGAAGGGCGTGGTTAGTTGTCAACTTCTTGGTGTCAATCCTTTGTTCTTAATGTCCATGTGGGTCAGGTCACAGGTTCCAGCTACAGCATCTTCAAGTGGCCTTTCATGCCAGTGGAGGGTCACCCTAATTCACAGTCAGAGCGTCGCCATCTCCCCGGCCTGCAGGTCTACCTGTCAGTGCTCCTGCCCGGCCAGAAACACCCCAGACTCGCCCAAAGCCAGAAGCTGCAACGTGTGCACGCACCTGACTCTGCCGCAGCCTTCCCCTTAAGTCCCCCTCCTCTGGCACCACTCTGCCAGGCCTGGCGCCACGAATGCTCCGGAAGGGGGCGAGAGCGCAAACGTTGGCCACATCCCGGGGACTGCGACCTAGGGAGACTGCCACCGCGGGGACCACTGCGGCGCTGACCATTGGTGGAGCGGGGCCTCTAAGGCCTCGCGCGCCTCGCCGCCCGTTACACTGCAAACACCTGCTATCGGCGTTTGGCTTTCTGCGCCGCAGGCACACAGCCCTTGCTCAGTTACATTACCCCAACTAACACCAGAACTTGTTTCTGCGGGTTTATCTACTCCACAGTTTAGGAGCTCTCTATGAGCGCAAGGAGCATGTCTGAGCTGTCTTCGTGTCCCCACCGCCCAGCACAAGGGCTCACAAGGACGCGATAAGCTCTCCGTGAACCAGTGTTTTATTCGCGTAAAACACAAAGGTAAGAGGCTCAAGGCCTTTGAAAGCACACTTCACGGGGACACTGAGCGGACAGGGTGAAGGGCGACAGGCCCCGAACACCAGGTACATCGCCCCTACGCCTGTCCAAACAAAAGAAGGAGGTCCCGGCTCGCAGCCACTGAGAGACTTCCCGTCACGGGACCCAGGACAAGACAAGAACCTCAGAGAAGAGGGGGGGGCCGCGGAGTTAGGGTCCGCCCCCCGGGAAAACCCTACCTCAAACACACCACTCACCCGCCAGGCTGTCTTTTCCAGCGCGTGCGGCCGGAAGCTGCCGCGGGACGAGCCGGGACTTCCAGAAGGCCTGACGCATGCGCAAGGGCTAAGCCGGAAAACAGCGCCGCCGGACACGGAGGCGGTGAGCTACAGGACAACCCTCCCCGCCATGGTTCCGCCCTCCGCTAATCGACAGCAGTGTTCCCCAATGAGAAGACGGGATCCTCCTTGCGTCATAACCTGGACCACTGAAGTGGCTCGAGAGCAGGGGGTCTTAGATCTGGGCGTTTGTTGATGCCTCCTACTGGTTACTGCTGTTCTGCTTGACAGGCGCTTCAGCTTCTCTTTTTTCGAAGGGTCTTTGCACCAGCACCATCTGGGCTCATACCCTGTTTGTAGATGTGACAACGACAGCAGTGCTACTCTGCTGTCGAAGCACTGTCAACGAAGCACTGCTCTTCCTTTGCTTCTTCCCACAATCAGACTCTGCTATGTTCCTCTCTCTCTTTCCTGTCAATGTAGCCATCCAGTTAACCTGCCCTCTAAAAAGGGAGGCAGCAAGAACGGTCATATACCTTAGAATGGTCATAACACTAGGACCCTAGAGACTTGAGCACTCTGGTGTACTCTGCAGATAGTCAGCTGTGGTAGCCAGTGGATCTCTCTAGTACTTCGTTACATCATCTATAAAATAAATATAATAGCTGGCAGGAACAATGTAAGGCTCAAGATAGACAATGTATGTGCCAGTGCTTAGAGAAAACTGCTCAGTGTTATCACTGATACTGGAGGCTCTATAGAGAGTACGTAGACAAGAAAAAGAATAAAAGGCCTTCAAATAGGAAAGGAAGAAATAAATCTTCCTCTATTCAGAGATGACATGATCCTACATATAGAAAACCCCAGGCACTTCCCTGGCAATGCACTGGTTAGGTCTCCACACTCTCACTGTCAAGGGTCGGGGTGTGATCCCTGGTGGGGGAACTAAGATCCTGCATGCTGCGCTGTGGGGCAAAAAAACAAAACAAAACAAAAAACAATTCATATAAAAGCTCAAAAGATAATAAACAAATTCAGTAAGTTGCAGGACAAGATCAATATAGAAAATCAGTTGTGTTTCTGTACAGCAGCAATGAATAATATGAAAGAGAAATAAAGAAAAATATTCCATTTACAACAGCATCCAAAAGAATAAAGTACCTGGGTACAAATTTAACCAAGGGAATGAAAGATTTGTACGTTGAAAACTATAAAACGTTGTTAAAATAAATTAAAGAAGACATATATAAAAGGAAAGACACCTCGTGTTCAAGGATTGGAAGACTTAACATTGTTAATATTGCAATTCTCCCAAAGTGATTTACAGATTCAATGCAATCCATATCAAAATTTCAATAATCTTTTACAATATAAATTAATATGGGATTGCAAGGGACGTTGATTAACCAAAACTGTCTTGAAAAAGAGAACAAAGTTTGAGGAGAAACACTACCCAATTTCAAAAAGTAATACAAATCTATAGTAATAAAAATAATGTGGCACTGACATAAGGACAGATATACAGACAAACAGAATAGAATTAAAACTCCAAAACTAAACCAATATATCTATGGCCAAACAATTTTCAATATGGGCTACAAGAACATTCCAAGCAGGAAAGAATAGTCTCAACAAATGGTGCTGGCACAAGTGGATAGCCATATGCAAAAGAAACAAGTTGGACCCCTACCTCACACCAAACACAAAAATTCATGAGGGACTTCTTTGGAGGTTCAGTGGGTAAAGGCTCTGTGCTTCCACTGCACGGGGCACGGGTTCGATCCCTGTTTGGGGAACTAAGATCCCACATGCTGTGTGGCAAGGCCAAAAAATATATCATGAAAATGGATCCAGGACCTAAATATAAGAGCTAAAACTATAAAATTTCCAAAGAAAATATATGAGAAAATCTTAATGAAATTGGATTTGATAATGGCTTTTTAAAAATTTATTATTTTAATTTTGGCTGTGTTGGGTCTTCACTGCTGTGCGCAGGCTTTCTCTAGTTGTGGTGAGTGGGGGCCACTCTTCGTTGCGGTGCACGGGCTTCTCCTTGTAGTGGCTTCTCTTGTTGCGGAGCACAGGCTCTAGGAACGTGGGCTTCAGTAGTTGTGGCACGTGGGCTCAGCAGTTGTGGCTTGCGGGCTCTAGAGCACAGGCTAA